TATATATATATATATATATATATATATATATATATATATATATATATATATATATATATATGCACACACACGTACAATGTCATAAAACAAATCCACGCGTATTGATGTCAAATACGAGGCCAAGTCAAATTAATCCAAACGAGTCGTAACCATGGGTAGGTCATGATCAACAAGTACCATGAAACTAGTGACAGCTTATTTGTATAGAAAATTAAGGCGAGTGTTAATTGCGTGCAACGTGAATAATCAATATGGTGTGAATTAAAGCAAGTAAACAGGAACACATATACGAACACAGCTAAATAAGGGGTTCATATACTTTAATTTATACCCATCAATTTCCTTATTCTAAGCGGTCCCTTGATCATCTTCGTTAAGATAGATTGATAGATAGATAGAGATTAGCAGGTACCGTTGCCATTAATGTATGATTTATGAATTTATCAATCATCATGGATGGGTCTTTAATTTAAAATTAACTAATTAATAATTAACGTCTTCTGGCTGCAGTTTCCCTTTGACAGTTGAAAAAGACAGCAGCAACAGGCGATCCCAGTTGATTTTCTTGAGCAAAATTGCGAGTGTTGAAACTACGCCTTGAAGATGGGCAAGTAACAGTCTGCCTTCCCCTTTGCTTATAAAGCAGAAACACAAACCTGTGGATGCCAATGTTTGGCCTAGGTGTTTCATAGCTCACTACCTCTTTTCCTGTTGCAAACATTAATGGTAACAAATCATGTATTACATTTACTATATCTATATATTCTGTCACCTGTAATATTCTAACCCTACCTCCCTACCTATTCATATATATATATATATATATATATATGGAAATTAATTAAAGGGAAATGATCATATTCCAAACCAAATTAACTTTCTAATCAATTTTTCTCTTGACTTTACCCAAAAAAACCACTAGTTGCGGACCCACTATACGACAAAAAAATCAACGTTTTGGACGAGGTCTGCAACTATTACAGATCCGACCCAAAACTCATTTTCCTATGAAGGTGGACACTTATGAATCTGGCGTTACGGATTCAAGAAAATGGGTTTTGAGCCATATCCGTAATAATTACGGATTTGTGGTTATAGACCACGGCCAAAAACTCTAAAATTTTATCGTTTAGTGGTTAGGAAGTTAATTTGGTTGTGGAATATAGTCATTTGAGTCGATTTCCCTTGTAAGCATGTTGAATATATAGGCTACCTTTACAAGTGCAGGCACCTGTTTGTATACATATTCATATTGAGAGAGTTACAGACGCATAGTTGCATGGCATAACAAATAATAGTAAAATAACTCAGATATTCATTCATCTGTTGTTTGGAGAAAACTTTTTTAAAGTTAGGGTTCTGAATTAACCTAGAGTGGGGCTAGCTGTGCCATGATATCACATTTTAAAGTGTTAGAAAAGCATCTAAGAAGGCTAAAAACAACACCATTCGATGAAAATCATGTCTTATACAAAATCTTGAGTTAAAATTATAGGATTAGGGTTTGGAAACTGGAAGAGATGATCTTAAAACTCATGGGATTTGAAGGTGTAGAACATACTAGAATTCAATAATGGGATTTGAATCTTGAAAACATAAATGGAAACAGAAGAAAAGAAAGAAGAAGTGATGTGTGGGGAGGTACCAAACGAGGAATCCGTTGTGCCTGGAATGTCTGTAACAATCCTGTGAAAGGAAAACGTTGTCAAAAGATGATTGGTTGGTGGAATGTTAAAACTGGTAAACAAGATGAACCTGACATGTTGCTTTTTTAGTAGACCCCCTTTAAACTACACTATTGCTTTTATCCTTTGATAGTTCAGATTGGAGTTTCAGTTCTCTCTTGCATGGTCAATATTCCTCCTCAGTTATGTGAACCCAGTTTATTCCACTTGCGCTCTACTCTTATAATAAATACCAATTTACATACATATATGTATATATATATATATACATACATATCACTGAAGATTAGAGAGAAGATCTTGCCAGATTCACATCCTCCAAAACGATTTTATCATGGGAGGATGTGACATGCAATGGAAATCTCTGCTTGTTATTAAGTTTGATCTTATTTATTCAGATCAATAAAGTAACTTATCTCTTTTCATAAATTGATTTGACTCACACTATCATACCATCTAACTTGTTACTATATATTTTCATGTATTTTTGGCTTTATAGGAAACATAAAAAATGTAATATTTATGTGTCTTATCTAAAAGTGTTGTAATAAATTCATATGACACTTTTGAACGTCTTAAAAAGTTTTTCAAGACATTTTTCAAAGTAAGTAAATCTTATTAGGTGTTTTACAGGGGATTCTTTGAAAGTCTGACCTATAAAACAAGTGTCATATAAAAAAATGTGTTTACTAGAACATTTCTTAAAAGTATGATATAAAATCTAATATAACACTTTGTTTTAAAAGTAAAAAAATATCTTATTACAATACTTTTAAATAGAACTTACAAAGGTTTGATTCTATAGACTTAAATTTTATATTGTAGTCTCTTATAACACTTTTAAAAAAAATTGATGTCCCATAAACTCGATTTTGTTAGTGACTAATTAAGTCTAGGATATTAAAGTTCCTAACCTTAAATCTGGTAGAATTTTTGTAATTCAAAATGAATGTGACTCAAAACAATATATACAATAAAACCAAAATAATTAAACTTACGTCTTTTACTATAAAAATATCAAGTAGTTATGCCAGTTTTTTTTTTTTTGAAATTTTTATAAGTTTTATATCGTGATACTTGATGTCTTACTATTTTACTTAAAACGCAAACTTAATTAATAGAACTTTTGTTTGGACAAACACATGATTAATTACAATTAATTTGGAAAAATAGAATTATTTACAAGTAACTAAAAACATAAATAATATAACATTTTAAAAAGGACTTGTCTTTTGGTTACTAAAGAAGTGTAAAGTGGATTTTTAGGGGCCGGACAAATAGAGAACCTTATTTTATATTTTTTTTTATTAACAAGAATAAAGATATTAGTAAAGCAGCTAATCGTTCAAGTAATCATTATTAATTAATAGTTAATAACTTAAATTCAATATTGAGAACTTACCAAATATGTATGTATATATATATATATATATATATATATATATTGTACTTCTTCACATGAAATAAATAGGCTAGAAACTAGTGAACCAAGTTGTATGATTGCATGCTTTTGTGCACATCCTTAATATCCTTAATTTGATGTTCAAAGTATGTACTGAAGCCTTACTTTACAAGTGTATGAACACACACACACACATATATATATATACATATATATGTGTGTATATATATATATATATATGTGTGTGTGTGTGTAGAGTAAGTGAGTTTTAAAAACAAAAACAACTGAAATATAATATAATTTACTGGATGTGTTGACTTGATATTTTCATCGTTGTAATTACTTGTCAAATACTTGCAATTTGTATAATTTTATGGATAAAATACACAACATCCGATTTTATCCCAAAGTGATTGGATCATAGGATGTACACGTAGGAACGCCATAAGACCGCCACAAAACCAATTAATTTTGCTATATATAATACCTCTCAAGATTTTAGTTCATATTACAAGTTTTAGATCATATATGTTCTAGATTTTAAGCTACAATACCTGAAATAAAGATTCTTATTTAATTAGTTATATACTTCTCGTCCCCAATTTAAAGAAACTGAGTTCTTGAACCATTTGCAATCTTTGGCACAATATATCTTTGAAACAAACTCCTGTATGCAAGTTCTCTTTATGTCTATATAATATATATATATATACATATATATATATATATATATATGAATGTGAATGATACCATTAATTAGATTAGGGTTTGAGGCATTTGTGATGGGGTTGAAAGGCATGTATGATGAAGCCAAGAAGAGATGTCAAAAACCCATATGGGCTACGTCAAGAAACAACCCCCCAAACAAGAAAAATTGAAAATTTATTATAAAGAAAGTAATTCAAGAACAAAAAGAAGATAAAAATCAAAGGTTGGTTAATTAGCTCATAATTATACCAGTGCAAGTGCTCTCTGAGATATGGATCACTAGGACCAGGAACATCTGGGTCTGTCATAATCTGCAATTTAAATAGATTTATATTCATTTAAAAAAGAAATTAAAAACTATATAAAGAAAAGAATTGAAACATCGAACGAAGATTAACTTGGGTTAATTGTAGCTGATTCTTAATCTTGTTGAAGTTAAAAAAAATTGAGAAGATAAGTATGAATTACCAGTGTAAAGAAGGATCTCATGTCACCACCACGAACATCAACCTTAGGTTTAGCAGTGACAGATGAAGGGAACAGCTCATGGCCATTGTAAACTTGCTTTGATAAGTTGTAGGTTACAGACATCTCAACAGTTGGAGTGAAGTTGTCGACTACATCTCCCACAACCCTCCCAATCACAAGAGGATCTGACGTGATTCTTGCCATTATATAAAGAAAGACTTAATTGGTTGAAGAACAAAAGAGATAGCTATATATATATATATAGTAGTAGCAGTACTTGTAATTTGAGACAGAAGGGTTAGCCAACTACACACCCTTTTATATACATATGGAGTACTATACTACGTTGGGAAACACCTCTTAAAATTTCTCCCCACAATGAGCTTTTGCATATTGTTTATTATTATTTAATGTTATAGAATCCTGAGGTCATACGAAATAAACCTTATTAAATGATTTAATATATTATGGTGGGAAAAAGAGACACGAAATAACTATGTAAGGAATACGTATATAAACGTGATAACTCAATAACGCTAGAAACATGTGTGTTTTAATTTCTTGATTATAAAAAACACACACACACAGAGGATCGGGAGAGAAGAAAAGGTGAGAGACATAAGAAAGTATTTCCATCCTCATCACTTTCAGACTCATGTCCATTCATGAATTGTACTTTAAAAGAGAATTAATATGGTGCATCTCGTTATTTTTTATCTTCAATTAGAATTGATCTAAGGATGAAAATGTCTTCTTATCTTTCTCATCATAATTTGTCTTCTCACTGGAATCCAACTTCTCTCTCTCTCTCTCTCTCTCTCTCTCTCTATATATATATATATAAACGAAGAATCGTACGAGAAAAAGAGTTAAGGTGAGAAGCGTAAGAATAAATATGTGGATCCTTGATCGTCTTTAATTTCAAACTCACCCATGAATCGTGTTTGATACGAGGATTGATCCGGTGCATTTCATTCTAATGTGCATCAAATGGTGGAGATCACTTTCTACTCTTCTCACTTTAACTATTTTTTTCACTAGAACTCAACCCTATATATATATATACACACACACACACTTAATCATTTGAGAACTCCAAAATTTGTAAGATCCGTGAGAACTTCTACCTTAAGAATTTTTGTTTCATATGATTTTTTTTCCGTCTAAGTAGTATTTAGTGTATTGATTAACATATATTTGTTTCACAATGTGTTTCTTTCATATGTATTTGGTTCACAATATGAAACTTTTTTACGTGTATTTTTGTTTCACAAAGGCGTCGAAAAGGTTCACGTTATGAACCAAATACATCTGAAACAAGCACATTTTGAAACAAATATATGTTAACAAATATTCTAAATCCTTGTCTTAGATGGAAAAAAACATATGAAATAACACATGATGCAATTTCATGAGTTCACAAATTAAAGAAGTTTCCTATATAATAAGCAAATATCGTGTGAGAAAAAAAGTTAAAATGAGAAGCGCAAGAAAGGATTTTCACCTTTGATCACCTTCAATCTCAAACACACCTATAAATCGCTCTTTATACGAGGAGTGATCCGGTGATTCTCAATGCATCTCATCCTAATGTCCACCCTTGAGCACCTTAGGGATGTTAAATCTCTCTCTAACCAGAACCCAACCATATATATATGGGGGGGGGGGGGATTCAAAGATAACCGAGCTGTTTGTGAGATGGATAAGATACAATCTCAACCACGAATTAATTTAAATCAAAGATTAAATTAATGATTTTATGATAATCTTCGGAAAAAAAAACATTCATATGAGAATTATGAGCATCTTTTAATCCCTCTACCTTCGCTCTCCTTTGTACGGACCCTCGGTGGGAACATTTGTGATCAAAAACACGGTATGAACATTATTTGTATCATGACCTAAACCACTATTAAATATAAACATTGTGATTACATGTTTTGATATTACACATCATTAATTAACACAAATTTTACACCAATAGCAAAAACAGAAAAACCATAGACCTCTAAGGACTTGGATACATGTTGTGAACAAAATCAATAATCAAATTTGAACATCCGTCAAACATCTTTGCTGATCCCAAAACCTAGACCTATAGTATCACAATCTGAATCACTGTCAAATATATTGTTTCAATTAAGTATTGTAAGCACATGTTTTTGTTTCACATTGTAAAATAATGAATATAACAACACCAAGAACAAAAAAAAAACATTTTGTAATGACATATATCCACATACTAAACAATTAATTAATGTTTTTACGGGGTAGTCATGTATTTCCTATTTATAAGAGTTATGTGATTTTCTTTTATGAGGGAATCAATTCATTAAATATTTTTATAAGTTGTATTTTTAATTATTAAATTACTTCTTTATTAATATAATTATCTTAAATGAGTGATTAACCTTGGATTTCATGAATCTCATAAATTATATAGTTTTCATTTGTTTAAACATATATATATATATAGACATTTTGTTATATACAAATGTGTGTATATGGAGATTTAACACATAAGGTTATAACCAAATTAACGTGTATTAGTTTCTCAAACAAAACATTAATTTGTATGTGTATTTCTTGAAAAATAATTATTTTATAGGATTTTACCTTTTTTTTGTTGCTGCAAAACGGGGGATATAGATTTGACCTTTATGAAGTTAAGGAAAAATGGACTTAAAACAAGGTATTATATGTACTACTGGTTTAGAGACATTCTCTACCCATAAAAAGCAGTAGCAACTTTTATAAATATGGAAAAATGTTACAAATATAACAAATAATGATGGGTATTGTTCGAACCTTCCCAATTAGATGATTCTCATAACACCATTTCCTATTTCTAGAAATCCATCCTTCATTATTAAATCAAAGAGTTGGAGTATAAAGCAATTCCACCATCACCATAATTATAATTATTCATTTTATTAAATAAATAAATCAAATACCAGTTTTACAAAGAGCAAACTTGTTTGTGGTGGTGAGAGGTCATGTCATCAAAGCAAAAGAGATTCAGTGACTTCCATTTTTTTAAATAATTTGATATTTAGAATATAAGTATTTCATTTTTTTTTTAAATTGAATTTGTTTACGGTAATATATCGAAGAGGTACTGATCGGTTGAAAAGTTAAAATTGATTTACGTAGAACTGTTCCGATTCAATTACTAACTGTACTTTGTAAACATATATAGCTAATCAAGTTAACATGATTGGATTTGATATGTTTATTGGATATGTTTGGAGTCATCGTAGCATTCTTCAACAAAACGTTGGTTCCTACTGAGATTCAGTTCACTGATATTCAAGTCCGAGTTTCGAACGGGTATCGAGACGTCTAAAAAAAGGATCCACTTCATGAGGAAGGTGGATTGAAAAACCAATTCTATGATGGTTGCCCTTGAATTTACCAGGTATGAGTGGTTTTGTTGCAGAAGTTATAGTCTATTTAGAAATGATTACCAGCCAAAAATATCTTTTAATTCCCAAAATTGTCGTTACTCTCCCAATGAGTTAAGTGATCTGTAATATTCATAATAACGTGTTTATTTTTTCAATATAAATAAAAGTAAAATGGATATCTATACCAATATAAATAATAAGCCCAATGATAGAAGAAAAAAAAAGAATTATTTATTATTTATTAATGATATTGTTATTACTAAGGGGTCATTTACTTGGTAAGTACTTACCGGATAAATTTCCTCATCGGATGAACATGAGAAGGGTGAATAATCTTATCGGGTAAGAGCAATGAGAATGATGGAGAGTTTTACCCGGTAAGTGAGAATGACGACTCTTACCCACTAGATTGTTGCATTCGATATGTTTTAATATACTAAAACCTTACGCATCAAAATAAATTGTAGTGTTGACTCATATCGGTAAGCATTTACCGGGTAACCAATCGGGTAAACAGCCCCTAAGTTTTTTCTTGAATATTTAAAATAACGTTATAAAATTTTATTTATTATATATATATATTATTAATTGGACGTGTAATTTAATGATAATGAGACTATCAATTTTGTTGGATTTTGTATTGTTATCCTAAAACAAAACCATCCAAATTAGATGTTGAAATTATCATTTTGATTCAAATTAATTACAATATAATATTCTATTATAGTTTGTTCTAACTTTATCATATGCCTTTGTTGACACCTCTAATTATATTAGATTATGTAAATTGCCAATTGAAAGACTTCCAAAAATATATAATACTTTTACTTTTTAAATCCCCATCTCATACCTCTTTCAAAGACAAACTACATTTACAATATTATATAAATTAAATGTAAGTAAAAATGCTAACGGTTTTCATCAAATGATACAAATCGTTCACATCGCACTATACAACACCGTAACACGCTGTTTAGAACATTTGGTATGCAGTTTGCAATTTATATCTTCATCAAACCATACTTTGCAGTACAGTTTGGGTTTTTGAATTGCCAAACCGCACTTAAATCGTAGCGCATCACATATTCTTTATAACCATTTATCAAAAGAAAATAATAATTGCATTAATTTTTGAGTTTTTACGTTACAAATCGTTCGCGTCACAAAGCGAGTAAATATGTTTAATTAGCCATATCGGTCGGTTGCAAATTTTGAATTGTAAATAATATGTATAATGATTTATTTCCGAAATATATTTTGGTATATATTATTACTAGAAGATTACTCGCGCAATGCAGCGAGACACATCTTGATTTTAATGTTCTATTTTTATTATTTGTCCATGTCGATGTTATAATACGATTTTATGTGTTTTTAAGAAAGCAATAATGATTTTATTTTTGAATAAAATATAAATTTGAAGATATAATAAAATTTTGTCATATATATTTATGTATATATATATATATATCAATATTAATATAAAAGCAACTATTTAAAAATTTTCATTTTTTATGTAATTTCTTTAATCTATTTTTTATTATAATTTAATTTAAGCTTAATAATGAAATAATTTATTTTTGGTTTAATAATATAACATTTTATAAATATAATATTAAGTATTCTGTTAGAATTCAATGATTATCCTAATTATATTTTAGATTTTTTATAATAATTAAGTATTCTATTAGAATTCAATGATTATCCTAATTATATTTTAGATTTTTTATAATAATTAAGTATTCTATTAGAATTCAATGATTATCCTAATTATATTTTAGATTTTTTATATTTAAAATGAGATGTTTATCATGTA